TATTACTTTGTGTTGTGTTAGTTCCCATTGTAAAGCGTCCTTGGGTTTCGTGAAAGGAGCTATATAAATTGAAATTATTATTATTATTATTATATGCCATTTAAGTACACTTGAATATCCATGCCATAGCACACTGCTTACTGCATGGCTATTGAGACCACACAAAGGTTCGCAACAGGCTCACACATGTGAGAGTGGAAAAACTGGTTGGCATTCGGGCAAACCTAAGGCTCTTTGAGCCGGACACAGAGCCATCCTCAACAAGGCTGGACAGTGACACTGAAGAGGAAGACTCAGAGTTGGATGTTGATGAGGCCCAGGAAGAGCCCATTGACTGAAAGGGTTTAGCAAAAATGCAGAGGATTGCTTGAAGGAAGATTTAACATTTTGAATGGGACTTTGTGGGGATTTTTGGATGGGGGGTGCATTTTTGTTCATTATGATTGAGTATGTAAGTCGCTTTGGATAAAAGCGTCTAAAAAGTAACATTACATTACATTACATGTCATTTGTTAGACGCTTTTATCCAAAGCGACTTTTCAGTACTTAAGTATTGTGGACAATCCCCACAGGAGCAATTCGCGGTGAAGTGTCTCAGGGACACAACGACCTGCAGTGGGACTCGAACTTGCTACCCCCGATTTCAAGTCGAGCACACTACCCACTGAGCCACAGCCTCCCTGTGGCTTGTAAACAAGTAATGTAATGTAATACCACTGTATTTACGTTTGTCATGGCTTGGCTCTCAGCCACAACAAACGCGCGACAGAAAACGAGGGTGTGAATAGAAAAAGAGAATGTATTCACTGCTGCTGAAGGACACAAACAGGCGAAACAAACGACGAAACAAGAGGTCAGCTGGTCGTGGCTGCTCTTCGCGTTGTGTCCTCCTGCCAGAGAGAGATTGCAGGTCTCACTCAGGCCCTTTAACCCTCTGGTACCGGCCGCCAGGTGTCTTCAATCCCAGCTGATAGACCAAAGGGAAAACCTTAAAGGAACATACACACACCAGAGATAACAAGGCAGGGGTCGTCACACGTTGTTTTAAATATTTACATATTTCCATACCCTTCTTCTTAATTATTGCTTTTCCTTCTCCTTTTCCAAGTGAAACTGGTATTGCTATTTCCTTCTGTAATGCATATTTTGCTAACTTATCAGCATGCTCATTCCCGTTTCAAGTTAAAATTGAATAATAACTACGCTCTGTTTTTTTTATCGGAACAAGGTTTCATGATATCCTCCACAACAGCTTTATAAACACCACAACACAGATTTTGACCATTTAAGCCAAGTCTGAAGGTCTCTAAAAAAACAAGTGTATCATTTGGTGTTCGGGTCTGGGGAGACCCAGCAGAATTGTTTTGGGTGACTCAGGGTCAAATTTGGCCCAATCAAGATTCATCTTTGACTTTAGACACGACCCCCCCCCCCCCTTCATCCACTGTAACAATAAGAATATGGACACTAACACTTGAACCTGAACACACACATGCACGTGTGCAATATGTGGTGTAATGTGTTTTGGGCCATAAAATACAATTACAACAGGATTGTACGGTTATGAATGCATTATAAGTTAGTTATGATGTAGTTAAAACACTATTGAATGATAGTCATATTTTTTGAGTGTTTTGGACTGAGATAAATCATGGGTCAAAACTGACCCGCGACCACCATGAACGGTAACAGCTTTTGAACACAACACAAGGGTTAAACAAGGCCCGGCCCCCCCCACTGACACTTTACCTCAGCCACATCATAGACTCTATATGCATTACATTCATGCACACAATGCTCAAATACTGCTTACTGCAAATATTCTTATTTCATATTCTATATTCTATAATTCACTGCACTCTATTTCACTGTAAATTACCGCTTTATTTTATTGCTATTTAACAATATTTTATTATGGTGTCCTTAAAGATTTTCTGTTTGATATTAGATTTCTTGTTTTATATGTAATGTCTGCACCATGACATCAAGTCAAATTCCTCGTATGTGTGAACCCACCTGGTGATAAACCTGTTTCTGATTCTGAAGTCTCAGTAAGCAGTGGTTAAGTTCAATGATTAAATCTTCTCTAACAGTTATTGTCAACTGTATGCTTTCCAAAGCAGATAGTGAGTCTGTGCATATCACCACCCTATCAGGTCTGACCTCTTCAACCCATTGTAGCCCAATAATTGCTGCGAGTATTTCTGCTGTATAAACTGACAAGTTATTTGACACTCGTTTTGAGATTGATATTTTGAATTCTGGGATATACACGCCTATCCCCACGCATTCTTGGGCGACCCCGCTCTGCACCGTGCTATTATAAGATAGATAGATAAAGAGAGAGATAGATAGATAGATGGATAGATAGATATAACGTTGCTATGTTTCTTTTTATTAATAAAATGAAGAAAAACATTCGTGCAAAATCGCAGAGACTAATTCATCAACAATTCTTTATTAAACTCTGATTTTTACAGTAATAATAATAATAATGGGTTTAATTTATAAAGCACTTCATATTTGATTTCAAATCCTGAAGTGGAGGCGTGTGGTGCAGTGGGTTGAGCGTTGGTGTTCGGATCAGGGGGTCACAGGTTCAAACCCCACTGACAAGACACTTCACCCCAAAGTGCTCCTGTGGGGATTGTCCACAGTATTGAGTATGTAAGTCACTTTGGATAAAAGAGTCTAACAAGTAACAAGTAATGTAAACAAAGTAATGAAGTGCTACAAGCAGTACTGATTAACACTGCTTCACATTCAATGAAAAGAGTGTTTGTATCAGACCTTCATAGGTAGAGGCTGTCCAGTAGAGCTGATGTTACTCTAGCTATCCTGAAGGTGGCAGCAGAGGAACACAGGATATATATTTATATAAATAGAAATAAAGCAATGAAGTCATTAAATAAATAAAGTAACAAATAATATGTAATTTCACATGGAAGTTGGTCACCAAGAAGAAAGGACACAGGGAAAATGTCATTTGAGGGGGGGACTCGCCAACTATCTGATATTTAAATATAATAATATTTGTAATCCTCTTTTTATACAACTTTATTTATATTTTGAGAACACGTTTATCCAGCAAAACAAGTGCATGTATTATTTACATGTTGAATGGTTTATTTCTAGTCTTTTCATTTCTCTAATGTTCAATGTCTTGTCTTTTTATGCTGCTGCCACACAAACATTTCCCTAGTTGGGATCGATAAAGTACTTCTTATCTCATCTTATGTTATCTTAATAACACGCAGGCCTGTTCCTCCTTGACTGCTATTCGGTGCTTTTATTAACATGCATTGTAGTTTTAGAGGTGAAGAAAGAGACAGGAGCTTCTGAGATCCACGTGTTTTAGAAATGGACATTTTCAAAAACCTTAAATAGACAGTTTCTGTTGGTGAGGAACAAAGTGAGGGTCAGTGTTTGACTGTTAAACTACAGTGTGTGTGTGTGTGTGTGTCACCTAGCCTGGTTTTAGAAATCTGGATCTCAAGATGAAATTTTTTTCTGAACACAAAGAATAATTAATAAAATGTCAGGATCTATTCGTCTGTCATATCCAGCATACATTACAAACTTCAAAAATGATATGATACTTCATGATGGGTGTGTGTGTGTGTGGAAACAGCGCATTTAGTGTATGTGAGAGAGAGAGAGAGAGAGCGAGAGAGAGAGCGAGAGAGAGAGAGAGAGAGAGCGAGAGAGAGAGAGAGAGAGAGAGAGAGAGAGAGAGAGAGAGAGGTACCGGTGCCAGCAGCAGGGACCGTGTTGTTAGCATCTGGTTAGCTAGCTGCACTAACGGACACAAGGAGCTGTTTGTTCCACAACAAGCTGGAGGAGAGCTCTCCTCTCAGACTGAGAGGCTCAGGTGAGCTAAAGGACTCTGAGTATTTAGATAGTTCACTTTAGTCTAAGTTATCTCAGTGGGTCTCAATTAGTTTGGTCACAAATTATTCAAAAGATTATTTCCGCGGCACACCTTCATATGATCATTATAGTTATAAAACAAATAAGAGAATAAAGGAAAAACAGTTATGAAATACTATATGGCAGTAAAACAAGAATACAGTTTGAAAGGAGAGTGATTTGTAAAATATCCATAAAGAAAAAGTAAATCTGTTTACAGTTGTTTCATCTGGGTGCTGAGAGAGGTATCCATAGATCTCTTCATGTTGCTCTCAAAGTGCACCAGATTGATGCTTTCAACGTCAATATTTTAAAAAATCTTCCCAGGGGAGCATCCCCCTGGACCCCCCTAGAGGAGGTGAGGTCCGCTCCCCACACATAAAAAAATAGCACTTTACCCCTGCCTATATGCCGTGAGCTGATTATCGAGCCTTCATTGTAACAGTCGCGGGTGTACTGTGTGTTTACGTGTGGGGAGTGCTTTTGTGCGTGCTCTATAGTGCCCGTAATAGTGTTCACTGGAGTCCAGCACCCCCACTCAAAATACCTTCCCGCACCTCTGTGCACGGGGTCAGAAATGTATTCTGGGCCTAAACCATTCAATGCTTTATAAACCAGCCGCAGTATTTAGAAATAAATTATTTGACACACAGGAAGCCAGTGTAAAGACTTCAGAACTGGACTGATCCTCTTTCTTAGTGTTAGTGAGGAACCAGTGTAAAGACTTCAGAACTGGACTGATCCACTTTCTTAGTGTTAGTGAGGAACCAGTGTAAAGACTTCAGAACTGGACTGATCCACTTTCTTAGTGTTAGTGAGGAACCAGTGTAAAGACTTCAGAACTGGACTGATCCACTTCTTAGTGTTAGTGAGGAACCAGTGTAAAGACTTCAGAACTGGACTGATCCACTTTCTTAGTGTTAGTGAGGAACCAGTGTAAAGACTTCAGAACTGGACTGATCCACTTTCTTAGTGTTAGTGAGGAACCAGTGTAAAGACTTCAGAACTGGACTGATCCTCTTTCTTAGTGTTAGTGAGGAACCAGTGTAAAGACTTCAGAACTGGACTGATCCACTTTCTTAGTGTTAGTGAGGAACCAGTGTAAAGACTTCAGAACTGGACTGATCCTCTTTCTTAGTGTTAGTGAGGACTCGAGTGTGAGTCTTTTTCAGTCTCATAACTACAGTATGTTTTGTAGTCCAGCTTCAGGTCCAGCAACTCCGACTCAGTCACTGCCGAACACAAATGAACACATAATGAAATATGACCCCCGGTTTGATGATTGCCAGGTCACAGTACAATGGGAGCTATCTACCCTTACCCACAATTTAAAGTAATTCACAAAGACTATCTCCTCTTTACTCTTCTCTCTGTGAGGAGCAGCAAGTTCAGCTTCAGAACAAAGTGAAACACAAACAATGGCATCAAATATTATTAATATGTCGGGTAGTAGCCTAATCTCAGAGTGCACCAGAATGCAGGGCCGTCCCTTCCTACACGCAGATCACGCAGACTGCGTGGGGCCTCACCTCGCTGAGGGGGCCTCATCTTGCGGAGGGGTCCCTCAACTGAGCGCACCGTTATGCGGCGCAATTAGTGTAAGCGCGGCACAGTTTTGCCGCTGCGACACGGAGGGCCTCATCATATGACTTTGCGTGGGGCCACAAATTGGCCCCTGCTGGGGTTGGGTTTTCAGCATGTGTGCCTTTTTATGTTATACAGTTCAGCCTTGATTCCATCATCTCATTAAACTTTTTTTAAAAGCATACTTTAGTTCCGTGAAGGGATATAAGGGATATATGCACTGTACTTCACTTTAATTGATTTTGTCTGCTGAAAAGCAAATAAACAAATGTCGGTTCGCGATTTATTGACAAAGGAAAAAAGTGCGTCCCGAGGCCTGACCAGTTGAGAACCACTGGTTCAGAGTGTTTAACCGGAATAACAGATCTTTCCAATCACCACTGATTTCAGGGTCAGGAGAAGCTAAAGTCATGTTCTTGGCTGGCTCTGGTTGTTTGTCAGTGTCACCATAAGTGTTGGTTACTTTGGTGTCATTAGAGCCAAATGGACTTGTTTCTGTGCTTAATATTTGTTTTAAATGCACATTCAGACTTGACTTAGAGCAATGATATTTTATCACACTCAGAGCAGGTATCGTGTTATACACACACTTACTGGGACTAACTCAAAGAGTTTAAACCTAACAATAATCACTGTCTTCAGAGTCAGGTTCAGAAGAGTCTCCAGGGTTGTCCTCAGTCTCTGGTTGTAAATGTCTCTCTGGATCTGAGTTCCTAGCTGGTTCTGGTCCTCCACAGTCCTCTCCATCAGCTTCTGTTTCCATGTGTTCAGCTGAGCTGCTGGCTGGAGGCTCTGCCTCTCTGTTCTCCTCAGTTTGAGTTTGATGAAGCTGTGAGGACTGACGACCAACACACTTATGGGTTTTGACTAGATTACCCCGGATAAATCTTTTGTCACAAACTCTGCAGCTGAATGGTTTCTCTCCTGTGTGGATTCTCATGTGTTCCTTTAAATGTCCTCTCCGTGCAAAAGATTTCTTACAAATTGAGCAGCTGAATGGTTTCTCTCCTGTGTGGACTCTTGTGTGTTTCTTTAAATCTCCTCTATCTGCAAAAGATTTCTTACAAATTGAGCAGATGAATGGTTTCTCTCCTGTGTGGACTCTCATGTGTTGCTTTAAATTTCCTCTCTGTGCAAAAGATTTCTTACAAACTGAGCAGCCAAATGTTTTCTCTCCTGAGTGGATTCTCATGTGCCGATTTAAATTTCCTCTCTGTTTAAACGTTTTCTCACACAAAGAGCAGCCAAATGTATTCTCTCCTGCACTACGTATTGAATCACTGACAGGGTTTTGTTTAATTTTCTGAGGGTTTGAACCTGGTTCTCTGGTCTCCTTCAAATCAGCTCTGTCTTCAGTGTCAGGTTCAGAAGAGTCTCCAGGGTTGTCCTCAGTCTCTGGTTGTAAATGTCTCTCTGGATCTGAGTTCCTGGCTGGTTCTGGTCCTCGACAGTCCTCTCCATCAGCTTCTGTTTCCAGGTGTTCAGTTTGTCTTTGATGAAGCTGAGAGGACTGACGTTTCTCTTCATCATCTTCACTCTTCACAGGGACAGGAGTGAATGTGGACTTGGCGATATCAGCCTCCTCCAGCCCTTGAAGCTGCTCTCCCTCCTGACTGATCCAGAGTTCCTCCTGTTCCTCTTTAATGTGTGGGGGGGGCTCTGGGTCCTCCTGGTCCAGACTGGAGCTCCACTCCTGCTGCTCAGGGGGAACCTCTTCTTCAACCACCACCAGCTGCTGGACGTCTGCAGGAAACAGGAAACACATATTCAGAGAAACTGTAGAGTATTAGAATTTAAAATCTAACCACGATTAACACTTCTTTAACTTTGCAGCCCTTATCCATTCCTTATTTTAAATGCTTTTCCAGATCGGTCGGCCGTTCACAGAGTGTGAGGCCTTAGCCTTATAGTTTGTGACCTGTCTGCAGAGTCGTTAGCTGAGAACTGGTGTTGGAGTTTCTCAGAGTAGTCGTTTAGCATCTCTCTCCGCCTCGCTAAACCTGTACTTGGACTCATACAGGTGCATCTCAATAAATTAAATATCATGGAAAAGTGAGTTTATATGAGTAATTCAATTTATAAAGTTTAAATGTATATATCACAGATTCATCACACACAAAGTGAATTATTTTCCAGCGTTTATTTGTTTTAATCTTGATGATTAAATGAAAGCCAAAATCCAGCATCTCAGAACATTTTAATAATACATAAGGCCAATACAAAATAAATAACTGCATCAATGCGGCACAAATCTCTCTATTTCAGCGTGATAAGCCGATGAACTGCTGCCTTTGTGCATTAACCTGTTTTAACCCTGAGCCTGTTTTTCAGGTCTCAGGCTCGAAAATGACATTCCCAGAACAAATGACTATATCTTCCCTTTTAAAAAGGGGTAAATTAATAATCCTTTTTCTCAAAGCAATGATAAACCTTGGAGTTGGATGTAGAAAAGTCACAATCAATATAGATTTTGTTCATTTTAAAGTAAATTCAGATTGAACATAGTAAAAAAATGTAAATTATAGTGTCAGTCCAAAAAAAAAAACAGTACTTATCGTGAAAACCACCCTTGGATGATGGGATAGTAGACTAAAAGCTTTAGGAATCCAAACTATAACATAATAAGTACCCTGTATCAAGATTGATGCAAAACAAGTGAAATTTGACCTTTTTAGAGAGATTTAGAAAAGAAAACCCACTTCTGGGTCATTTGGGTGCATTTTCCATATCTCTGGTCCCCCTTGTTCGATTTTGATGATTGAGATCTCTTCTTAACCGTTAGAGCCAATAGAATTGAGGGGAAGTTCCTCAAATCCATCTAAACATTACCCATTGGTGAATGAGTGATGCGTAGCCAGAATGCCCCGGAACCGGAAGCTGTGATACACTCTGGTTGCTATCATTAGCAGCTAATATGAAAACTCCGTTATTGACAAAGTGAATGATGGATTATCAGTAATCATTTCAAAGTGACACAGACACATTGGTTTAACCTTCAGCAGCGTTTTTATCATTTTAATGCCATTGAACACGACTTTTGATCAGAACAACAGCTAAGGTAAGACGATGTCCCGTGAATGCTCCGTAATGTTACGTGGTGTGATGTCGGGTTTTGCTTCCCATGTCGCGAGTTCTATCTCAGTGATGATACTTATACGTCTGGAATCTGTGGAATCTCAGCTTGCTAATCGATATCTTGTTTGTACAGATCCGATAAGTAATAAGGGTATTTATACCTAGAGTTCTGTGCTAAGTGTGTTAGTATTTTTTCGCTCAGGGCTCATTTAGATGCTTCTTGTGAGACTTGTGTTTTGTTTCGGTAAAAATGGTTCATATCGTCAGTTAGCTGAGTTTCTTCCCGTTAAAACAAATGAATAATGACTATATAAAAATATAAGAATAAAACACGGAGGACGGAGATCTCTTTTTCTCCCCCTCTTCTGAGAGCCCAGCAGCTGAGCCCAGCAGCTGATCTCAAAGCATGCTCCCCTCTCCTGCAGGGGGGCGTGGTCAGCTGCAGCTCATTTGCATTAAAGCTACGTCACAGAATCAGCCTTTTCAGGGCTGGAAAAGAGCAAATAGAGCGAAATGAGGCATGGCTAAAATGCAGGATCTGTTTGGTATTTTGAAAAAAAAAAAAAACTATATTTATATAGGTATGGCCCTACAATATATTGTTCAAATATAGCATGATAGGTCCACTTTAATATAAGATATTTGTTTGAGCACTATATGGGCGGCACTCATTATAATCCTGTTCACCTGCGTGAGGTGTGTGTGGAAGAGAGGGTGACACAGGGTCGTTGGACTTTTTGTTGACCGCAAGTTGAAATGATTGCTTTGATTAATATAACAATAGGCACGTTCACACCGGAGTACTTTTCCCGTTTAGTTCCATTAGTACCCCTTATGTCACGTTCACACCAAAAAGAGTACTTAGGGAAATGTTACCCCCATTTTTAGTGCCTGCCGGTGGTACTCTCCTGGGGGAAAAAAGTGCCCCAGTTCTGATTGGCTGGGCGAATTGCAAACCACGCCCCGTAAAACTCTGAAATGTTTTGTAGAGCCGCCATTTTATTATCCTTGAATTAGCATTATTAGCATTAGCCCAGCGCACAAATGCAGAGAGATTAACTTATGGCAACACAAAATAAAACATGGGAGCGGTGGAGATGAGGAGGTGTCGGCATTCTGGCGATTTACTCGGAAAGCTTCAGTAGCCTCCCCCAACTCCATGGACTTCCGGCCCGGGACGTCGGGTGGGAGGATACGCCGTGAAGTTGTTTGCGGCCTGCCAGTAAACCCAAAGCAGAAGAAGAAGAAGTGACATCAGCGGCTTCATTTGCGTAATCTTCCCTCAGGGAAAAGTACTCCGGTGTGAACGCGATCGGCCCTTAGTTCCATAGGGGAACTAAGTGCTGGGAACTAAGTGCTGGGAACTAAGTGCTGGGAACTAAGTACGGCAAAGTACTTGGTGTGAACGCGGCTATTGTGCAGGTCCAAGGAGAATAAGTGGATAATTCCAGTTTTCATTAAACCACATTATTTTGCAACAGAGTTTTTGATCTCAGCAAGTACTTTTTTGTAGCGTGTCACACAATATGCAAAATGCCAACACCATTTCCAAAGAATCTAATATTAGGGATTCCGAACAAATGTATTATTGGGGTAGGTTTTGTTTATCAAAATTGATGAAAAGGGAAGAACTGTTGGGGAAATATTTTCCTAGGCCCATAACTGTGACCCAGTTTATCAGTTTGTACTGACCTCACTGAGCACACGCACCTGTAGCTTGGCTGCTGTGCTCTCAGTGGTTTGTCTTCCGGTTTCTTCTTATTCTCTCAGAACCAGCTAAATACATGGGTCTGGGTAGAGATCCTCAGAATTGGTTTGGAATCCGTTGTGTCAACTCATGGCTCGTGACACGTCTTGTGAATTCTCCGGCCGAAACTCCAAATAAACCGTCAGTGTTTGCCATCAAAGCTCCTGCTTTCCCCGTGTCTCACACCAACGCAACTCCGGTTCAAGCTCCGTGCTAGAGCTTTTCAGGTTCAGAACCAGTTCTTCGGTTTAGCTCTGGCTCTTTTCACACCGCCCAGAGTCCGACTGGTAATGCGTCGTTGCATCATCGTTTGCGTCATGACGTTTGCGTGCCTGTTTCATAAAACCAAACCGCACGGATTAAATCAGTTGCATTCATTTCTTATGGCTCTATTTGCAGCTTTTCCGGAGTCATTTCTGTAGTTTAGTTATATTCTTATAAAAAAAAGTGTACTCGTGTCAATAAAGGTTTTTTTTAAAACACAACTTTTTCCGAGGTCGGTCTTATTTCTTAAGGTGGACTGAACCGAGTGTGGAGTAACTTGTATCTTTCATTTAAATGAACTGTAACCTTCACCCAGGTATGTAACAGCTGTTCTCAAATGAACACGTGAAGTAAAGTTTAATATTTATAGCTTTATAGATTTATAATGAGAGGTGATCAACGTGAATGCTCAGGTTCCACCTTAACACGCAGACACGTTGCTTCACCATGAGCAGAAACCTTTATATATACAGTCTATGGCAGAAACACTGAAACACTGAAACTCTTGTTAAGTTTCTCCATCGTTGTGTACAAACTGGATAAAACGCAGGCTTTTTGTTGTTGTTCAGGAGTTGATCTGTCTCTGCCCCTGCCCCCGCCTCGACGTAAGCGGGACGTATGTGGTGCTTTTGCTCTGGCCGGACAATTTTTTGGTGCTTGAAACGAACCGGATCCGGAGCTAAGAGGCTGCTCCGCTGCGGTGTGAAGAGGAAAACCCGGTGCTTTTCAAGCTCCAGCTCCGAACCGGCCCTGAAACACCGTTGGTGTGAATGAGGTATGAGAGTCCCGTTTCCAATTACTTCAGAAGTTTCCATCACACAGGGTTTTCTCTAAACTGGGTAACAGGGGCGCTGCATCCTCTTACTCTCAGCGTGCACCCTCATACCAAAATGTAGATTTCCCCCATAAAATGTTAAAGTGATGCCAGAAAAACAATATTTATGTTCATCAAAAAACGGTATAATTAGAGCGTCAGGCGGCAGAGACAGCTATTAAGAGTCTAACGAGTTAATACAGAGTCTAACGAGTGAGAGAGAGTGAATAAAGAGGGAACAGACCTGCTCTGTGGATCTGAAGCTGAGGCTGTAAAACAGCGTCCAGTAGTTTCCGGTGTCTCTCGTTCTCCTGTTTTGAACGAGACAGTTCCTCCTCGTACTCTGCTATCGTTCTTTCAAACAGAACAAAGATGTCTTCAGTAGCCGCAGTGAGTCGCTGCTTCAACAACGAGAGCAGGACAACACTCATGTTTACTAAATCACCACTTCCTGTTTCTCTCACTCTGTGTTACTAGCGTGTTACCAGCTAGCATGCTAAGCTAGCTTCTAGAGTCCGAGCTAAAGGCTTCAGAAGAAAGAGCACAAAGTCAGAGGTTCATCCAGACACACAGACGATGGACGGATCAGCTGCTCACACACACTTCCTCAGGAACACCGAGAGAGAACCATGGATGTAGCGAGAGAAGCGAGAGAACCCACGAGACGTGATCTGGTTCCATTAGAAAGAGCGAGACCATCACTTCCGGTGCATCACTTCTTCTTCTGTCGATTTAAAGGCGGATTGCAAACAACTTTAAGGTGCATACCGCCACCTACTGTACAGAGTGTGTATCACCATGGCCCTTTCTCATTTCATCAAATCCCCCTCCTCGACTCCTCGG